AGTTCATCGGCCTCACCAATGAACTGTAAAAAAAAAAAAAAAAAAAAAAAAAAAAAAATCCCCCCCCCCCCAAAAAAAAAAAAAAAAAAAAAAAAGTTAGGAAAAAAGAATAAGCTTTAGACCTCAGCTGTTTTCTTCTACAATCTGGCTTGTAGATTTTAGTGCTCATGGAAATGACAGACTAAAAGCACTGACAAAATCTGAAACAAGTCAGTTCCTACACACAGCTCTGTAAAATTCACTGCCAAAACAAAGTCTCTTGATGGAGCAGAAGTCTTGGAAGTCATTCTTTTTTTCTGCTCTATTTTGCTTCTGTATAAACTTGACTCTGTGAACTCAAACTTTCAGGTGGGTTTTCTATATATGCAAAACATCTAGTGGGAACTGGGGTGGACTCCCAAACTTCTTTTCACTCATGACTAAAGCCAGGAATTCAGCCAGAAAGTATAGAGCACTAAAATCACCAACTAATCCTTCACATCCAATATTTTACATGCAGAATACAAAGATGCAGGATACATACCAACCAGAAATATTGCTAATATATATAGTAGAAATCAGCCAATTGGCCAAAAGCCAATGAATACAAGGCTTTTCTGAGGCAAAGCTCATCATTCCAAAGCTTGCTCACATAACAGAAGTTGCACATTGTTTAGTGTCTGCTTAAGTCCAAAGGATAAAATATCAATGGGCATATACTTGCTTGAGTATCACTAACAAGCAATAAATTAGAGATATTTAACTGACCTAGAAGCCTTTTTTTGACTGGTTGCAATTCCACTGTGATTAGACTGAGTTGCATATCTGGCTGTGAGACTGTATGAGAAGAAACAGAGAAATTGAATTAAAGAATTTCTTTGAATATGTATAGAAAGAACACACTTACCAGCAAATGATGAGTTAATGAATGCAAATCGAACATGGATAAAAACTGCAAATTAACTGGCAACAATATGAAACAATGTAAACATGCAGATTTTTATGAGATGCAATGAACAGGTTATGAAATAATGGATATTATTATAAAATGTCTCATTTTCTAAAAATTATCTTATCAATAGAAAAAGCGAGCAAATTTCCACAGTGACTGAACTCCTGAAACATATCTCAATTCACAGAGAATGTGAACTTTAAAATACTGGGCTTTTTTTCTTTCCCCATGAAAAGCACTAAGCACAGATACATTCCTATTGGTCTCTCCAGCAACCTGACTGAATTCACAGCAGGGCGCTTAGGAACAGATTTGCTACACCAAATTCAATGTGGACTCAGAAAAATTCTCACTAAAGCAAGGGGACCATCCTGGACAGTAGAGCTATACAGAAGAAGCTCCCTGTCACAAATTTTATTGGATAGAGGATAGGTCATGTATGTGATGACCCAGGCAATGAATCAGAGGCTGCATTAAGAAAGTCCTGGCATGTGCTTAAACTCACTGTGAAATTCCATAGGAAAATACACCTTTGTCTATTAAGTCAACCAAATAGCATTTCTGCAACAGAAAGTGTATTATGTTATAGGGCTAAAAACTGTATGTTCCTTTTGGCAGCCAACAACCTGGCAAGATTAGATAGCGCATTATTTCCTCTAGTCTTTTGGACATTTACATAGGGGATATGTCAAATGTATGGCCAAGGTACCACTTTCTGTCAGGTAATTTCAGTTTTATAGAAAGGTGCATCCTTTGGAATCCACACAGTCTAAGGCGGTAGAGAGGCACCTAAGCCGGGTGCAATCACAACATCAAATTCCTTGAATTGCTAGGGAAGTCATGGGCAACTGAGGAAGCAGAAACGCTGATAGTCACAGATTTCTTTTGTTTCTCAGAGTCCTGTATCTTCCAGCAATAATTCTGAGTAGCAGCAGAAACCACAGTGCTCTAGTCCCAGCTTTAGACTGGCAGTACTTTTAATAAGCACCTGGTGGTGTTGAATCTACCAAAACAGTGTTAAGCAATTTCTGCCAGTCCACTGAAGCAGCCAGACCTGAGTGTAAACCAGGTGGGAGAAGCTGTCAGGTAAGAAAGGGCTTACCTTCCTTAGCACTGCAGTGCTAAAAAGGGGTGAGAAGAAGGCATAAACCAAGGGACAATATGAGACTGGAATGAGATGTGAGATTATTGCTACTTTACTAAATTAAACCCCAACAAAGGGTTCAGTGCTGCCTCTTTCTGCCAATTAAAAATGGCACATTTGCACATGATGAATATAAAAGTAAGAAGAGTACTTCAGTCTTAAGAGGGCAAAAAGGAATAATTCAATATGTAAAAGCAACATTCAATTCTCTGACATTTAGAGTAATGCTGAGAAATTGCTTTTTTATATGACCATAGCTTCTGTGGATATTATAATATATAATACCAGTGATAAAAATATAAGATATTACTTATAATAACACCACAATAATTTCATAACAATAACACTCTATGTATTTTTATCTATCTAGTTTTTAGTACATTTAATTATATTTCACTTATGGCTATATTTCTTAAAAATATCTGGACTTGTAATACAAATGTGACATAGGCTGTTTTACTGAATTTGCTACATTTTTGCCTGGCATAATAGCCCATCTTTTGATGAGCTCTTTCTCTCATTTTTTTTCCCAGCATATTTAAGTTGAAGGAATCTAGAATGAAGGAAGCTAGAAATGAATAGCTGGTTATCTGCGTTGACAAAAATAAGAGATTTGTGAGAAAAATTGTATGCCAAATAAAATCTTTGTGCATTTATGCTGTAAGACGTGGAATGATACACAGTACAATCAACATAGAAAGATGGGGGAAAAGAGTAAGTAGGTTGCAGTGCCTTAGTGTATCATAGCATTTCTACCTCAAACAACACATTCCAGAGTAAATTGAAAGATCAAAACCCTTAATCTCAGTGTTGATAAACTAACCCACATACTTTCAGTAGCAATAAATACATAAAATCCCTATCTGATAATGCTTGCTAGAATGCTTCCCTTCTGCGGCTGTTACTTGGGACTCCATCCACTAGCAAATTCATGAAACATCAGCCTATAGACTACCTTCAAACTTTCCAGACAGGCTTGATAGACATTGATCAAAATGTCGATGTCAGTAAAATGTGATTTGTAAAGCATGATTTCCACTGTGACTGAGTAAATTTATTTTCCAAAGTAATGTGACAAGAGAAAGGCAAAAAGAAGATTTAACAACTCATAAAGCAGGTGCATCAAGTTCCTAATAACTTTAGGTTTTCCTTGTCAGTTAGCTCAGGATGTGTTGAGCTCATGAAAGCTGTGCATGGATGCATTTCCCAGTTGCTGGCCTCACTTTCATGGATGTGAACTGCAGTGCTGTTTCAGACTAGACTTTAGCCTACTCACTCCTTGTACCCCTTAAATGTATAAACAAATACTTACTGCACTCTACCCTACCAGATAATTGTCTGTGGGTAGCATCTGTCAGTCAGGAAAATAAACTGTTTTGCTTGAAGCAGTTATTTTTAATGCTTACAAATCCACACCATGATATAGTAAGTGTGTGTCTGCAATAAGCGGTAAATGGTTCTTAACAGGTTTAATGGATCTTAACCAGTTTAATGCTACAGCATTCGGGACAAGGAAGGCTTTACTTGTCAGGAGGCTGGAAAGGGAGGGGTTTTAAGGCCTCTGTTTCTCAGCTGTCTACAACTCTTTCTCAGGTTTACAATACCCTTTCCACTGTTGGAAATGGATGATGATCTACACCATGTACACAGGTCCAGACATCATGCTTAGCTTTCCTCTTTCAAATAACACACAAGGGAAGTGAAGTAAATGCTGTCCAAAACAGGTAAAATTGCATACAGGCATTTGAAATCTTAGAAATAATGTAGACTCTGCAAAACTAATATGGACTCTATCCTCCAGGTGGAAGTCATCAATATTTTGTTTTATAAACCAGGGAAACACTAGTCATAACAGCAGATATGAAATGGTGACAATTAGGAAATTTCTTTTGCTGTGAGAAAAAGGAATAAACATCCTGAGACTGCCCAGAAAGGCAGTTCAGCACACAGATATCTGAGAAGAAAGGACAGTGATGTTGCTGACCCCAAGGTACTGATGGAGAACCCCATGTCTGTATTGTGCTCACTGGTTGCAGGAACCAGGGCTCTGCACATGGCTGTGCAGCAGTCAGCTGCACTGGGGACCTGTGCACCATGTTCCATCAGGATGGGGAACAGATAGAGGTCATTCATTTGCAGACATGACACGGTTACAAAACAGTCCTAAAAGATGTAGAAGAGACTAGGAAATCAATATAGGCTACAATATTATGTGGCACTTAGGGATAGGTTTTAATGGTAGACTTGGCAGTGCTGGGTTAGCAGCTGGACTTGATGAACTTGAGGTCTTTTCCAACCTAAATCATTCTATGATTCTATGCAGAAGGAAGGCAACAGATTGGTTGACACTGGACTAAACTACCACAAACTCTATCTTGTTGCCATACAGTATGTCAGAAAATAAGTAGGCCCTTGAAAGTGGGTTAACACATAAAGCTGAATGATAAACCTTCTATAAACCTGAAAAGAGCATGAATCAAGCTAAAAATATTTTAACGTCCATCTTCAAAGAGTAACCCATGCAGTGACACCCTGAATATCATATACTTTTTATTAAGTCTTCCAAAGGATCAATAGGGTCACGTTACATCATACTGTCATTTTCCTATAATGTTATGAGTCACATGGTGCTTCTAAAATGCCAGCTATGCACTATGTTAAAATTAGAAAAAGGGGAAGGGTTTTGTAGAATATAATCAAACCGTTTCTTCCTTAGTGGCATACTTGAATTTTAAAATGCTGTTGATCTTACAAAGTGCATTTAGTCTCTAGTCTAAATGCACTCCAGAGCTGTTCAAGACTTTTGTGTTAGAAAAATTCTCTGGAAAAGATTAGTTTAAAAATAGTTATTTTTCAATGTAAAAATTTGCCCAGAAGGTCTCAGTTTCCCTTTGCACCTTTTTTCCTTTTAAATTTTTTATTCTTAAATAAGCTATTTGGCTGCTCATCATCCTACTGGTTGAAAAGCACAAGAGGTAACATTCTAAGGTATACCTGACTCCAAATTCCAAGTGTGCCTGGAAAGATGCCACAGGAAAAAAATGTTTCCAAGCTCTCACCCTACCAAAGAGTTTGGGCAGGTAGATCCCCGATTCCCCATATGCACTTTAAAGGAGCACTGAGGTAGAAACCAAAAAACCCTTGATTTTCTGTACAAACAATATTTTTCTTTTTAGTCCAGCCTTGATGAATTAATATGTGGCCATATCTTCACGTATGTATCTATATAGCTACATATATAAACATTTAACATTTATACAAATATTATTTATGCATGTGTATTTTACAGATAAAGGTATATTATCTATAAATAGTTGTATATTATATATTTAACACACTTCATTTTTTTTCATTCACAAGAGGAAAACTCAGGCAGTTCTAGCTCATACCCTGTCATCTCTTTTAAATTATTTGGACATTTCTCTGTGGGACCCCTGGCCTGGTTCAGGGGTCTCGTGTAGTGGTAAAGTCTCTCCTCCATTCCGTGCTTCCAAAGAAAAACTCCGCAGCCTCTTGTTGTTCAGTCTCAAGGCAGTTTATTGTTGGTTATCTAAAAGATTGTCTTCTCAGGCTGTGGCTGTTTGATCAGCGGCCTGGGCAGAGGCACACACACACCCTGACATCCTCTCTGTCTGCTGTCTGCTTCTTCTCTCTCCCCACCCAGGGCTGCTGCTATCTTTTATATTATATATTGCATATTACGTGTTTACAGTTTTCCCCCCAATACCTACTACCTATGTT